GTGTTGGTTCAGCATTGGAAGATCCACCCCCAAAAGTCATCATTTTAACAGAGGAAAGGAAAAAGCCATATGATCCTGTCAGTAGTTGGAGAAAAAGTATTGGACTAAATTCTACAGCTGTTCATGGTAAAAGCTATCAGGAGACTAGAAGTAGAACAGAACCTTCTGAGAAAACAACTTAGAGATGTGTCAGGCTGGATTTGGGGGCCTGAACTGTAGAATTGGGACTTATCTTGAGTGAGCATAAAATACTGAGTGGTCTAAGCCAGTGATTCTCAATCCGGTGTGACTTTGTCTCCCAGACAACATTTGGCATCTGAAAACTTTTGTTTTTGATACTGAGGATTAAACCCAAGGGTACTCTACAACTGAATTAACATTTCTCCAGCTCTTAAAATTTTATTATGAAATAGGGTCTCATTATGTTGCTCAGGCTGGCCTCAAATTTGTAATGCTACCGCTTCAGCCTCCTGAGTAATTGAGATTGCAGATGTGCACCAGCACTCTGGCTAAAGACATTTTTTATTGTCACTTTGGGGTGGGGTGCTATCACTATCTAGAGGGTAGAGGTCAGAGTGGTGCTGGGGCTAAGGACTCTGCCCAGTGGCACTCACTGGGACACTCTTTTCTGCACCAGGCACTAGCAGCTGTTCTTGGTGGCTTTCATATTTCAGAGTTTAACCAGTGGACTGTCAGCTCCTCTCTGTCTCCCCTCTGTCTTCCTTCTTTATCCTAGACATTGAAGTAGATTATTCCATACCTGTTAGGTAAAGGAAAGATGAGTGTTACTAAGTCTGCTTTTTACTAGCTTAATTTCTGAGATTCTTTCTCATTCCACAATGGCCATTTACTTTCCCTACCCTAGGTCTTTTATGGTCAAAATAACTGGACGATGTGATTGCACGTAGTTTTATGTCCTTTAATGTCATCATAATACCTTACTGTCCCAGGTCATTTGGAGCCAAGATGCTAATGTGGTATTTTTCATTTTCGCAAAAGTGAGACAGAAGGTGTGAACCTGGGAGTGCTGAATGGAGTTTTGATTAAATGACTGCAGTACATTAACACATTTGCATCATAGTTATAAGGATTAAAACAAGCCAGAAATCAGCAACGAAGAATGCCAAGAACCTTATTGTTTCCGTATTGAGATCAGGAGCTAAAGCTAGAGAACAAACCTCAAGCTAGAGCTAGAGTGTAGCCCTCAGGTTTGTTTAGGGTAAAAGTGGGTGACACTCTCCAGAAGTGGCTCTGGGTCTCTTTTCCAGTGCTATATGTTCCACATGTATGTGGGGGTGCGAGCCGGAGGGGGCATTGGTGATGAAATCGAAGACCCAGCTGGGGACGAGTATGAGATCTACAGGATCATCTTTGACATCACCTTCTTCTTCTTTGTGATTGTCATCCTCCTGGCCATCATACAAGGTAAGCATATCCTCGCTGGAGCTTACAGGGGTCTGGGACCTGAGCCAACTGTTGGAGTTCATACTCCAGAAAGGTAAGAATGTGCTAGGAAGGCCGATAGAGTTTTTCCTTTCAGTATTTCCTCCTTGTAAAATCTATAGAAGGAAAAATAGGATGCACGGGACTCTTGGATTCAGGAGAAGGCTACTTGATCTCTCTTCAAATAACATAATGGAAAGTATAATAAGTCCCTGAGTTATGAACATTCCACTTGTCAGCTTTCACAAATACAGAGAGACCTCACGAACATTTGTAGATGTGAACAAATTGCAGAAGTAGCTCACATGTCTGCCTGACTTTGTCACAGATGTGGTACCATATACTTACTGTATAGTGCCAATGTGTACAGTAGTACAGTGCTCAATCAGAACCCAGAATGTCTGGAAGCAAGAGGAAAAGCAGTGGTGATGTGGAGGGGTTGCTTGGAAGTGCAAAGCAATAACCATGGACCCAAAAGTGAAAATAATTGAGAGATGAGACCAAGGTGAAAAGATGGTAGACATCTGTTTAATTACTTTTCTCATCGCTGAGATAAAATTGGACACTCAAAGTTAAAGGAAGAAAGGTTTATTTTGGCTCACAGTTTATAGAGGTTTCACTCCATAATCAGCTGGCTCCAAGGCAAGGTGGGATGGCAGAGAGGCATCACAGAGGAAAAATAGTCCATGACAGGCAGGGCAAGTAGAAAACAGCAAGCAGCAGCAGCAGCAGCAGTAGCTGGCCTGCTTTCTTTCTCTCCCCTTATATCCATCCATGCTACCCCCTTTTGGGTGGTGCCACCCACAACCAGGCCAAGGCACCCTTAATCCCACCATCACACTCCTTAGATTCAGCCACCTCTGAAAAACCCCATGTTTGACCACACAAGGCTTTCCAGTACATCTAGATACAACCCATAACAAAGTCGCTCTTCCTTTGTGTGTATGTGTGTTCCATTTTTTTATGTTTTACATTGTGTATTTGTGCCAAATGTGTAAGACTCACTTTGTCAGATATACCAATGAATCCGATTTATGAACATTCTCCCAGAAAGAACTCATTCATAAGTCAGGAATTTAATGTTCACTTTCCTCAGTTCACATTGTATCTTTGCCATTTGCCAACTTTATGAGTTTTGGGGCTAGGGGTAAACCATTTGGGCTTGTGGGTCTATCAAATGGTGGCTATGTACATCTCTGAGCTCTCTTTGTTGAAAATTTTCCAAAAATGATGTTTGCTCAAGTACACACTATAGTTCCTGATACATGATCAGCACAACATAATCACAGAGCTAGCATTGTTGACTATTCACAATGGGCCAAGCCATGTGTATTCACTCCTTTTACCCTCCCACCAGCACTATGAGGATAGTGTTGGGACTCACATTTGACATGGAAAGTGACTGAGCCATGTAAGTCAGAGTAACTTTGCTAAAGTACGTGGCTAAACAGTGTTGGGCTGGAATTATACCTGGTCTGAGCATCTGGTTTCAGAGATCTCATAGCAGCCAGGTACATTAATTCTTCCTTCCACAACATGCTAACTTGGAGTATGGTATTTCTAACTTGGAGTATGGTATTTTTCTCTTTTAGAAAATTGAGTCTTTTTTTTTTTTGTCTGGTTGGACACATTTATTCTGTCTTGTATTAAATGTTTGTAAATGTGACTTTATCCTTTAAGTCCCACAGTCATAAAATTATACTGGTTTTCCTGGTAAAGTACATGCATGGGTTAAAGGACTCATAATCCTTTTGCTATGTTATTATCGAGCATAAAAATAATGTGTTGTATAAGAGGGCAAAGTCGTAAAACACTTGGAGTGAAGGGTATACCCATTAAATAACAGGAGGCAAAAGAGGCAGAAACACCACAACTCAGAATAGTTTCTAGTTACTGCTCTTAATAAAACTATGCAGAGCTTATGAAGACTTTATGGAAAAAGTGATCTGAGGCAAATTTACATGGATTATATGGTAATGTTGTGTTTCCAAATTAATACCTGAAAATCTTCTTGGTGGGGTGTTCTGGATTTCACAACCATGAACTGGAATTTCTGTTTTGCAGCATCAAGCAAGTATTAAACGTATCATCTGTATGTGTAAAATCAACTGACAATTTTTCTTGCTCTGTCACTTCATTTGAAAATTATTTTTAAAACTCTGCTTGGTGGTATACTCCTCTAATCCCACTACTGTGGAAGGCTAATGCAGGAGGATCACAAATTTCAACCTCAGCTTGGGCAATTTAGTAACTTAGTGAAATCCTGTCTCAGAAGATAAGCAGGGAAAGGGAAAGCAAGAAAGGAAAGAAGGATGGACTGAGGATGTAGCTCAGTGCAAAGGTCCTGGGTTCAATCCCAAGTAGCACAAAAAATAGACTTTTTAGTGAGTATTTGCCCCTACAGCTATGTGTACTTCTGTCCCCAAAGATAAGAGTTGCTTAGCTAGTGGAGTATGGGATGTGCACTCAGACTTCTACCATGCTTTGAGCATCTTCCAACATGATTGTGAGTTTTCTCTTTCCTTGAAAGGAATAGCCAAGAGGCTATGAATTTAGTTAACATTCTTTCTTTGATAAATATTGAATTGGGTCTCTGTTTAACCATAGGTTTAATTATTGATGCTTTTGGAGAACTAAGAGATCAACAGGAGCAAGTCAAGGAAGACATGGAGGTAAGCTACTGTCTGTGACTCAGTTGTGCTGCTGTGGGTGCTCATCTTCCTCACTGCCTTTATCAAGAGACTTATGAATGCAGGCAACAAGGACAGAAGTCGTGGGTGGTTTCATTGGCCTGTATTGTTCAGGCAATACATATATGTAGGCAGGGTGCTAGGCTGGAACCAAAGTGGATTCCAAGTGCAGCAAACAGCAATATGGCACCACCCTGGCTCCCAGGAAGTGGGAAGACAATCCATCCAGAACTTTAGATTTACAATTGCCTAAGGGGACAGGGGATCACAGGGCAGCATGCTGAGCCCTTGGGGGAAATCGTCTCTGAGAGCTGGGTCCCCAGAGCTGGTGTCTGCTGCCTCCTGAATGGTCAGGGAACTTCCTAGAAGAAGGTAGGCTGAGCCAAGGCCTGAAAGTTGTGGAGATGTAGGTTTGAGAAGGAGAGAGCAAGATGGCTGAGGCTGCCTCCCTTTCCCTGCCCCCTCCTGCCGTGCTCACCTTCATGTATACCAGTCACATTGAATTCTGAGAGAATGTCACTAAGACTCTGATTTTAGGGCACTTGGTATGCAGTTTTTTTTTCTTGGAAGCATAAAATTTTCAGGATGAATCATTAAACTCTAGTGTTAGAGCTGGAGAAGAAGACCAGCAAATGAAGAGCTAATCACTCATTTGAAGAGTTTACAGTCTAATGTTCAGGCTGTGGGAAGCAAGATAAGTGTTTTAAGCAGGGTGACAGGTGATACCATTTGCATTTTGAAAAGATAGCTGTGGATTAAAATATGAGGACTGGACTAGATACTGCCAGGGAAGGAGTCCCTAGGCATTTTTCAGGAAGAGATTATGAAATGGCTTTTGCTGAAGATGTGCCTGCCACTGAGGCTAGAGGAGCAGAAGGGATATGAGGTGTACGTGGGAGCTTGAATGAAAAGAACTTGGTCATTGGAGCTGCAGAGGATGAAGAGGATGGAGCAGGCAGAGCCTTGATGCTTCAGGCAAGAGTCACCAGATGGGTGGATGGATGGATAGTGGCTTAGTTAGCTGACCTGGGTAACACAGGAAGAGCAGGTTTGTGGAGTCAGCTCGTGGTGTGATTGGAACCTGTTTGGTTGAAGAGACATCCATGGAGTGGTAGCAAGACCTGATTGTTCTCAGGTTGCTGAATGTGCCCTAAGTGCTGTTGGTGGTTGTTGGTTGGTAAGGCAGGATGAATTTTATGCACCATGACTATCTTTATTCCAGGCTCCAAAATCCAGGGCATCTTAAACATACTTCAAATGGAATGAAACAGCCTCTAAATGGCAGGGAAAGAGGAGCATGTGGATTGCAGGAGGAAAGTAATTATTGAATTCATTTGAGCTGAGATATAATCATTCTAGTTCTACAATTCTGATTGTGAATGGAGGGGTAGCTTCTTGGGTGGTGGACTGGGCCTGCAGGTAATAGACCTAAGCAAGTGTTGCTCTAAAGTCTGCATGAAGAGAGAGGTGGTCTTCAGGTGGGGGAAGCAAAAGAACCAGACATCTGGTTTCTGGATGCTTCAGTTGGTTAACACTGTGCCTAGCACAGTGCTTGGTCCCCTGTCGGCCCCCACTCAGTAGTTGGTTGAATTCCTCATAGCTTGCTTTTGCTTGGCCCTCTCCAAGGGAAGCCATTTGTACCTTTCCCTATTTGCACCAGACCATTTGGATAGATAACATGTTTGCAGTTTCAGTCGAGAATACAGTTAATCCTGCCTGGATAACTTTAGCCAGTGTATGAATAAGGGTAATCTCTAAGGGTGGTCTTTTCCAAATAGGCTGAAGAAAATAAGGCATAGACCTTGCTTTTTTCCTGTACTGTCTGCATCTATTCTTTCTTGCTGCTGGTGCCTATGTCATTTAAACTAACATCAAGATACAGCTGTGGCCTCAGTTAGATTTATATTCAGGGCCTTGGCCCAACCTCGATGTGATAATCTTTGATATATATTGAGTAAGTCAAATAGCTGCCTCTAACACATGAACACTGTATTTTCCTTTTGTTTTTCTTTGTGCGCTCTCTGACATTTAAATATTTCCCTTTGTTTTCCAGACCAAATGCTTCATCTGTGGGATAGGCAACGATTACTTTGACACAGTGCCGCATGGCTTCGAAACCCACACTTTGCAGGAACACAACCTGGCCAATTACCTGTGAGTGCTGGTGTCAGACTTGCCAGCCTTACCTGGGAGCCCAGCTCCCCTTCATCTCGGCAATTCAAACAGGCAGGAGAGGCTACTGCCTGTCCTTTACTGTTGCTCAGAAGCTTTGAGAGAAAGACTAGCCACCAGTAGTTCCCTGGACTTGAAATTGGGGTGGGTGGGGCATACTCTCAGGAAGTCTTGGTCAGGTTTCCCATTTTAATCCCCATTTCAAACAGGACTCTTTTTTTTTTTTTTCTTGCCAACCCGCTTGAAAGTTGCATTTTGTTTAATACATAGAAATCTGGCCATTATTATTGTTTGATGGGATGCTATTCTTAGTTTCTGACCCAGTTTTAATATAAAATAGATGAGATGTTGAGGAGCATTGAAGGAAAAAAACTGGTGGAGCTATATTCAATTGAACTGATCAGTAAATTGGAACATCGTGTTAAGCTAGTCTTCATTTAAAATTCATCAGTGTTGATTTCATTCTGACAAAAGTGTATATATTCTTAACCTGCAGCCAGAGTGTGTATAGGGGAAAATCATGCATTAGGTAAGAAAGATCCAGTCTAAAACCATCCTTCTCTCTTTCTGGAACACTATAATTAATCTTCAAAAACATTTTTGTGGTGTTTTCTCTGTGCCTCATGCACATATGACATATAGTAGCATTTCCTATCAGTTTATACTAGTAACTCCATACAGTGCATTCCTGATCATTCTCTCTGTGTCTGTAGGTTTTTTCTGATGTATCTCATCAACAAAGATGAGACAGAACACACAGGACAGGTAGGTAAACGGGGATTAAATGCCATCTTCAGAAAGCCTGCATACTGGAACAAAAAGTATGCAAGGGGGAGGAATTGCTTTCACATGTTAGTTGTGACATCTTGATATAAAATTCTTGGTTTCTTGGATGAGTGTTAAAAAGATGCCTGCCTTGAAAATTTCTAATTTCACATGTAAAAATAAGCTTTTATTAACTGAAAATACTGGGTTTGCATTTTGAATCCCGTGTATGAGAAAATTGAATGTTAATTATGATGTCCCTGATTGCTTAATCAGATGGCAGGTGATTTCAAATGAACTTCAACTCACAGCATTATGGTCAGTTAAAAGTGACTAAATATTTTTTTAAATGACTAAATATTGTCTAAGCTTTTTGGGATTCCCCTTCCACGACTGCTTACAGTAAATTGTTAATAGATTGAACTTAAAGAAAGATGTAATGAATAAGAACAATAATAGTATTTTAACAGAACCCTCAAACATACCACAAGTATATTTTTGTCATTATTACATGTGTTTAAGATAAATATTGAGTATTTGGTTATTGGAAGTAACTAAGGTCTAATATAGTTTGAAACTAAATGAATTTTGATTTTGCCAATTACATGTAGTGTTACGCAAAAAAGTAGAGTTTCTATCTTACATTTTATGTTAGCACACTAATTTTGAGGACAATGTTAATACATTGTTAATACAATGTTAATACCTTTGCTATTACAGGAATCTTACGTCTGGAAGATGTATCAAGAAAGATGCTGGGAATTCTTCCCAGCAGGAGATTGTTTCCGGAAACAGTATGAAGACCAGCTAAATTAAAATCAAACCCTTATCTCCTCTAAAAACCAAAACTGACTCTCTCCCCATTCCTCCCTCTTCCTCTTCTCCCCTCTTCCAGTCTCTCTGTCCCATTCCCCCCTCTCAGTCTCTCTGCTCTCAGAAGCATCTGGCTGATCATGTGGATTGCCAGCATCCTGTGCTTTCTGGGAGCATCAGAAGGAAAACTCTGAAGACCTGACTGTTTTGACCTGACTGTTTCCCCCCATCTCTTGTATTTTCTTTGAGAAATAAAGACTGAAGAATAATCTAACTTCATACACAAGCAAAATAGGATCTCTGGGAAGAAAACCATTGCAGACACTCTATCATACCACATGTGGACCGTTTCTTCTGAGGGTCCTGGAGATCTCTCTGAGCCACGGGACCTTCACCTTGAAGTGTGGCAGCCTCACTCACTCGGCTTCTTTATTTCACCATCCCGAGAGGAACTGTCTAAGGGTCACAGAGCACGCTAGCACTTAAAAGATTGCTGTGGACGCCAGTCATGAAAGGAAATAGTGCCTTACTATATGTGGGTTGAGCTATGCAGAAGATACGTGCATGAAAATACATCTTTATTTTCTTTATGCCCACCTACTTTTCCTTAGTAGATTGATTTTGTGAGTTTTTTCCTTTATTTTCTTTGGTGGGGAGGGTAAGAAAAGCCGTTTGTTCACACCTTTTCTTCTAAGAGGGGTGTTGTGTCTCAGGATGGAAGGAAGGAAGGAGGGAGGCCCTTCTCACTCAGTTATCCACATTTACCCTCCCCTTCTACTCCTGCTCTTATTTTGGTGACGCTCTGATACAACAGTGCAACTTTATGAAATCTTTGTATGAAAACACAAAGACTGCAAAAAAAACACACTTTCAAAAGAAATAACTCATTGCATGTTGATTATGGAAGTTTAATTGAACCAAGAAAACCTTCAGAAGCAAGTTGACCAACATAAAAGACCTTCCATGATAATTATACTCATAGTAATAAAGTGTTGTGGGCTTAACTGTATATTTGGAGCCAGTGTCATCCACCAACAATGTGATACATTCTGAACTTGACAGTAGTGTTGGGGTTCCCTCTTTCTTTTGGCCATCTGTGATCAGGTGTTGATTAAGGACTTTGCATCAGGCATTTTTTGATATCAAAGCTGAAGCAATATCCATTCAGGGATTTCATCAGGCTCATCACAAGACATGAATGATAATATCAATTGCTCCATTTTTTTTTCCATTTTGAGTCCTTTTAAGTGTAATGCTAATCTTTACAATTAAAAAGACAGATTCAGAATGGAAGCAAGTTCATTTTGCAAACATTGGAGCTCTTTTATTACAAGTCTGCTTGTTAATTTTAGAATTGTAAAACTGCTCTGATTAAACTATTTAACTAACTTTCTCATCTTCATCTTTCGTGTTTTCGCTTATAACTGCAATGCATCAAACCTTGAGCTCTTTCATTGAGGTGGACGTAGGATAGTCGCAAATGCTGTGTCAAGATCTTTAACACAGACTTCCGTGTGGTTATGCAGTTTTCAGTATTTGTAGTTATAGAGCCTTAGAGCCATCAGACACTCAGCCCCACCCCTGTCATTCCTGTCATGAGGATCATCCAATAACAGAAAAAAATTTTGCTATCTTCACACTTGTTTAAATTTTGCACATTTCTGATTTACAAATCTCTTGCTTGGGGCAACTTTTTCCTGTAAAACTAGAGATCCATGTTCTATCTTCATGTGAAAGAGAATTGGTACATTAGTAAGTGACATGTTAAGTGCTTCGGATTGAACATGTACTATGTACAAGGAAGTGTGGTGAGGGCTGGTGATGCATCCCATGTTACTTTACATCTTATCACCCCAGCATCTAAGCTGCTATACCTGGACCTTGTGTTTGTCTTTTGGTATTATTTTTATTTAGGGGAAGAAATACATTTGGCTATACCACAGGAGTGATTTCTAAGCTTTATGAGGAAAATTAGCTTTTGTCGTGAGGAGGCTGAATGAAATAAATCAGGTCAGCTCCCTACAATATCAAAGAAAACATTGCCCTTTGCCATGAAACACTGCAGAGGGAGCATCTGGTAGAGAGGAATACATCTTCTTCCAGGACATAAAGTCTACCAATAGATCCAAGTCTTCTGTTTTTAATGCCCAGATCACAGTTGTCACAAACAACAATATGAGGCGAGGCAACAAAGTTAAGTTCTTAGTGGCCCCTAGATTTTGCAAGTTCTTGTCTACTCTTGTGACTGCTCCCAACTTTGAAATTCTGCGAGGTGACAGAAACACTCAGAGAGATGGGAATTTGGGACAGGGCCCTTCCTTAGCCAGTGGACATTGTTCACACCTCAGTGTTGAAAAAGCAAAGGAGCAGAGGTGTGCATTGCGAGAGCTACATACTACCCAGCCAAACTACTGCCGACAGAGTGGGACATTTCTTCTTCATTTTCCACAGGGAAGAGGTAGTTGTCTCTCTCAGCATTATTATTTCCCCCGGAAATGTCTCAGTGATTCCCAGACGTAGTGTGGCCCTTCACTTCTCTGATTCAGCTCAGGGCTGCCTGACCCAAACTCCAGAAATGTAATCCTTCTGGAAATTTTATACTAATGCTCAAACATTCCCAAAGAATTTTATAGACTTGCATGTGTAACTATGTTCATTGACAACATGGATAGATTTCATTCTACTCTTCATACACACAAATACATGTGTGCGCACACATACACGCACATATATACACTTTTTTCTGGAAACAACATTGGAATCTATAAAGTAAGTTGAGAGTCTTGACTGAAGTTGATGTTTTCCAAGTGTTCTCTTGTTGTACATGTCTGAATGACGCTTCTTGGACAGGAATTTTTCACATACAGTGAGCAGTTCTGAGCCCCACACACATTCAAATGTCATATAATAATTAAAATATTTTAGGTGTGATTGTGAAAATCACATTTGGGAAATAACATTTTTTCACTCTCTTGCTTTCCTGGGGAAAATGTTTATATTTTTCTTAAGCTCTGATTTTCTGGGTGACTATACCAATATGGCCCCATTTCTGTTTAGGTCTCTGCATTGTGGTCAGTGGTGAATGCCTCATTTTTCAGAACTTTTTAAATATTTATTACCTTTACTTAAGCATGGAATTCATGAAAGCTTACTAAGGATAAGGCTTGAATAATTACACCTTTCCCAAATTATTTCCTAAAAGTGTCCTGTATTGTGAAGAGAGTAACCTCAGTCACCTTCCTGATGACATTTCTGTGCAGCACTCAGCACATCGGTGACAGAAATGGGGAAAGAGAACACCTTGTCTTGATACCTACACATTGGTGACATCTGGGTCTGTTAATAGCTATAAATACTATAATGGTAGACATCCTTAGCAAGATAGAGCTCCTTATCATATTATCTGAAAGTATACCATAATTGGGTGGCTAATGTGGATATGAGGTAGCTCCTCAAACCACAGGGTTTTTTTTTTTAAATAAGGTCAAAACTCAGTACAAAAACTAGTGGCAGTGATAAACATTACTTTCCCCATCTAGATAACATTCCAGGACTCCCAAGACATTAGAACTGAAGGGACTCCAGCAGTCATGTTGCACATGGGATATCCAGGCATGTTAAGTGGCTTGGCTGAAGTCACCACGGCTTGACTCATTTACTCTGACATAGTGAATGAGGATTTGTAAAAGTATTTATTACTTTTACTGCACTACTGGCTAGTGGGAGAGTTAGCGTATTTTCACAGAAGTCAGGTTTCTTGTTAATCTTTTCCTTAGAACCAGAATAGCTTGAAAAAAGAACAGGTTTCTTATGACCTAGCAAACAAAACAAAAAGCAGAATGGTATGAAAGTTTTGGGTGAAATATCATTGATGTCCACAGATATTCTGCTTCTGTGATTGATTCTGGGAGTGAGTAAATTAATTGAAAAATGGGCTTCAAAATGTAGCATTGAGGATAGCTTTTTCTTAATTAAGAAATGAAGTGTCACTTTTAGGCTAGGAAGATAAGGAAAGCTGCTTCATATTTTGCTTTAGTATCTAGTTTATTTCTACATGAAACACTTGCTTTTAATAACTACAAGTTATTTTATTGTGATTAATATGATATAATTCCAGTTTTGTTTATAATGGTTAAAATTATTTTGGTTCACATTTTCTTAAAGATTTTGAAGCTCATTGGTGAGGGTAGGTTCCAGAAGATCAAGGAATCATACTTGTTAGTATGTCAGTGGTGTTTTTATGGCCAAGGAGCAAGCATTTTGTCTGTCTTGCCCATGTCAGGAAGGGAAAAATTTTCCTCTACTCTTTGTTGTCTTTAGTGTTTAGGGGCCTGCAAATTAAACCAGCAAACGATGGATTAGTAAAAGAAAAGTCAGATTTGCTTCATTTATGTGTCTGTGAGTTCTCAGAAAAATGTGAGTTAGGAATGCTATAAGAAATGGGGATTATAGACTATCTTAATAGGGTAAAGGGTGGAGCATAGGAATATTTCTGGGAAAACAAATGACTTGTTAGAGAGAAAAGGACACTTAGGAAAAAACAAATGACTGTTTGGAATGATAAATGTGCCCTTTGGAGCCTAGATGGAAGATGGTTTTGTGAGACTGTCTGAGTGTGGTGCTGCCTCTTGTTTCTGAGAACAGGTAATTAGAGTTGTCTCCAGGAGGGGATTTAGGGTGATTGAGTTCTTTGGGAGGCTCTACCTTTAGGTAGATAAGGGATTTCAGAAACTCAAATGCTTTCAGTTAAAAATAATTTTTATGCTATGGCTGTTTATTTTAGATGTCTTGAATCAATCCCCACAACTCCCATAGTGTGTTCCAGCTCCTTTCATAGATCATAAATTTCATGTTTATTTTCTTCCAGGAATTCTATGAACTTGATATATGTGCACTCCATCTTCAATAAACATTGTTAACTAGGCCTTCAGATTTTTGTTTGTAGAGGAAATAATTTACTTTTTATGGGCCTGATTAACACCCCTAAATATTTTAAAATATAATGCTCCTAAAGTGAGAAATATTATGTTAACATGTAAATAAACGCTAGAGAGAATGTTTTTTAAAAAAGACCCACCAAACCTAAATGTTGTTACTCATTGTAACTTTAAAAACTTGCTGATCAGAGCCTCACATTAAAAAACACAGTAAAATTAGCTATACCTAAAATTGTATATATAAATTCAGAAATATACATGCACTGTCTAGACGAACAACTGGGCTTGGTGGCACATCCCTGTAATTCCAGCATTTGGGAAACTGAGCCAGGAGGATTGCTGAAAGTTTGAGGCCAACCTGGCCAACATAGTGAGTTGAAGGCCAGCCTGAAGTACATAGTGAGACTCACACACACACACACACACACACACACACAATCAAGAAAATTGGAAATATGTATTTAAGCTTTTAGTATTATGACTTATAGGGTCTCCCTCCTTCGCAAAATAAAGATTATTGAAACAAAACCCTTGGCAAGAGATTACAATATGAATTATAAAACTTCAAGGCCAGATGTCTTAAGTAATTTTTTCCTATGTTTACATATAGGTAAAAGAAATATAATCATTTAAGTATTTTTTCTTACTATAAAATAGTAGAAACAGTTAGTTTTTTTGTTTAAAGAATATAAATCCTGAAATGACTGCCTGCATATAAAAATGTCAAAAAGCCAAGTGCCAAAATGAGCTAACACTAAATGCTTACAAAGTAAATGTATTTCATACTTGGCATAATAAGAAAGATGGCGACCCAGTGCCAAGAATCCCCCTCGAAATTACCCTGACCGTGCACACACACACACACACACACACACACTTTGAACACACTTATTCCATAATTCTTGCCACTTTGAAACAGTTCTGGAAGTCCTCCTTTGTTCTATGAGGTGTGATGAAAAATATGGTGAATACTGCTGCGAGTGCCATCCAATGGAAAGTAGGTTCATTAAAACATTATGCAGATGTGCTCATCTACCTTATTCAATCGATCTGGCATTGTGTGACTTCTGGCTCTTCCACAAAGTCAGTGGACATTTTTAATTGATTCAGGACATTAAAATAGCCATGACAGAGCAACTAGAGGCACATGCAAAGAGGACGTCTAGAACTGCTTCAGAAGGTGGCAATAAAAATGGGATAATGTGTTTGGAGCAAAGGGGAGTTTCTGAGTAGAGATGTTGGCAAGGTGTCTTTTACTGTAATAAATTTTTTAAAAATTTAAACATTTTTCGATCATACCTGATACTTTGAGCTGCCAGAACCACAAGGGTGAGGAAATCAGGATGTGTGTTAGGAAGGCGGTACACCAGTGTATACCTAGGCACATGTGCTGGCTACTATCCACCCTGAGCCAGGAGAGACAGCTGTGTGGCATGTGTGTCCAGTTCACAAGAC